GGAGACCTGAGTTCAATCCCTGGAATCTGCACAAAGGTGGAAGGAGAGAAACACCTCCATCGTTGACTCTGACCTCTACCAGCACACCATGGCCTTCAGGCCTGTATGTACAGACACATGCACACATGTACATACATACAAACAGTGAATTGCGGGCGGCAGTGGCACACGCCTTTAATCCCAGCACTCGGGAGGCAGAGGCAGGTGGATCTCTGAGTTCGAGGCCAGCCTGGTCTACAGAGCGAGATCCAGGACAGGTGCCAAAACTACACAGAGAGACCCTGTTTGAAAAACAAACATACATACATACAAACAGTGAATTGAAAAACTAAGATGAAAAGCAATTGAGGAAGATACCAAAGTTAACCTCTGGCCTATACATGCATGCATGTGCACACATCTGAACGTGGATACACAGATTCCTGACATCTCTTTGTTGAACTTAGTGAACATGGGTTTATTTTGAGGGACTAATTACCATATTACGGGTCTGGGACCAACTGGTACAAAGGGGCAGTAAGAGGAGAGAAGGTAAAATATTCCCTCCAGAGTACCACAGGAGAGTAAAAAAAGCAATACTACTTTCACCCTTTTTAGGAGGCTCAGGCATATGCAGATGACAACAGCTTATTATTTATGGAGACTTCCGCAAAGACTGCTATGAACGTGAACGATCTCTTCCTGGCAATAGGTAAGGTCAGAGTGGTCTGAGGTTCTTCCTGTCTCCTTGTCTGTATGTGTTTTTATAAATTACTATAGGGATGGGGTTGGAGATGTAGCGTGGTGGTAGAGTAGTACTTCATAGGAGGTGGAAGGCCCAAGGTTTAGTACCCCAGCACTGCAAAGAAGCAAAACAAGAAACACTTCAACCTAAAGCTGGGCATGGTGATACATTCTTGTAATCCAGCACTTGGGAGGCCAAAATAGGAGGAGTGCCACAATCTGAAACTAACTGCACTAATAATCAGTACTAGGCTAGGGGTTCTCAATCTTCCTAATGCTGCGACCCTTTAATACAGTTCCTCATGTTGTGGTGACCCCAGCCATAAAATTACTTTGTTCTGTAATTTTGCTAATGTTTGAATCATGATGTAAATATCTGATATGCCACCTACAGATTGAGAACCACTGTACTAGTGGCCATAGCTGGGCATGGTGGTGCACACCTTTAATCCCTGTATTCAGGAGGCAGAGGCCAGCCTGGTCTATATAATTAATTCCAGGACAGCCAGAGAGACCCTATCTCGGGACAAAAAAAAAGGAAACAAAGAAAGAAAAAATACTAGGCCACCCAGGGCTGTGTGTTGAGACTTATCTCAGAAGAAAAAAAGAAAAGCTGGGCAGTGGTGGTGCGCACCTTTAATTCCAGCACTGGGGAGGCAGAGGCAGGCGGATGGATCTCTGTGAGTTGGAGGCCAGCCTGGTCTACAGAGCAAGTTCCAGAAAAACCCTGTCTCGAAAAACCAAAAGAAAAAGGGGGGGAAAAAGGCAAATCAAAACAAACTCTTCAAACTGGCATGCGTACAAGCTCAGGTGGGGCAGTGGCTGGAGCAGGAAGACTGTGAGGATGAGGTGAAGCAGGAAGACTGTGAGGATGGCTGGAGCAGGAAGACTGTGAGGATGAGGTGAAGCAGGAAGACTGAGGATGGGGTGAAGCAGGAAGACTGTGAGGATGAGGTGAAGCAGGAAGACTGTGAGGATGAGGTGAAGCAGGAAGACTGTGAGGATGGGGTGAAGCAGGAAGACTGTGAGGATGAGGTGAAGCAGGAAGACTGAAGACGGGGTGAAGCAGGAAGACTGTGAGGATGGGGTGAAGCAGGAAGACTGTGAGGATGGCTGGAGCAGGAAGACTGTGAGGATGGCTGGAGCAGGAAGACTGAGGATGGGGTGAAGCAGGAAGACTGTGAGGATGGGGTGAAGCAGGAAGACTGTGAAGACGGGGTGAAGCAGGAAGACTGTGAGGATGGCTGGAGCAGGAAGACTGTGAGGATGGCTGGAGCAGGAAGACTGTGAGGATGGGGTGAAGCAGGAAGACTGTGAGGATAGGGTGGAGCAGGAAGACTGTGAGGATGGGGTGAAGCAGGAAGACTGTGAGGATGAGGTGAAGCAGGAAGACTGTGAGGATGGGGTGAAGCAGGAAGACTGTGAGGATGAGATGAAGCAGGAAGACTGTGAGGATGGGGTGAAGCAGGAAGACTGTGAGGATGGGGTGAAGCAGGAAGACTGTGAGGATGAGGTGAAGCAGGAAGACTGAAGACGGGGTGAAGCAGGAAGACTGTGAGGATGGGGTGAAGCAGGAAGACTGAGGATGGGGTGAAGCAGGAAGACTGTGAGGATGAGGTGAAGCAGGAAGACTGTGAGGATGGGGTGAAGCAGGAAGACTGTGAGGATGAGGTGAAGCAGGAAGACTGAAGACGGGGTGAAGCAGGAAGACTGTGAGGATGGGGTGAAGCAGGAAGACTGAGGATGGGGTGAAGCAGGAAGACTGAGGATGGGGTGAAGCAGGAAGACTGTGAGGATGGGGTGGAGCAGGAAGACTGTGAGGATGGGGTGAAGCAGGAAGACTGTGAGGATGGGGTGAAGCACACCTATAATCACAAAACTTGGGAAATGGAGGTGAGAGGATCAGGTCATCCTTGAATGTTTAGCAAGTGTGAGACCAGTCTGGGCTACATGAGACCTTGCTTTAAAAAAGTGGGCTGGAGAGATGGCTCAGTGATTAAGAGTACATACTGCTTTTTCAGAGGACCCACAATTGTTTCTAAGCACCCACTTCAGGTAACTCAAAACCACTCCAGCTCCAGGGGGTACGACAGCTCTGACCTGAGGGCACCTGCGTTCATGTGCACATACCCACTCACACACACATACATATAATTTAAAATAGAATAAAAAAGAAACCAAAAAATAAAAGTGGTATGGTACTGTACACCTTTAATCCTACCATCTGGGAGGCTGAGACCAGGAGATGAAGAGTTTGAAGCTAATCTGGACTACAGAGTAAGAGAACCCAAGGTCAGAGGTAGAGCAGTGAGTTCGATCTCCAGCTGTAGAAACAGCGTCGCGTCCTTTTGTAACCTCCCATCCTTTGGTGGCAGCTTAGCTCCTGTGTCCACTGAGGTTTGCAAATATTTGTGTCCTCTTCAGGTGGTTATTTTAGTCTGACTTTGCCCCCACTTAGCAGTCTTTTTGTTTGGGGTGGAAAGTGTACATGAGTCAAATCTGCCATGCTCTGTTCCATTCTCTTTACTTTAGCAAAGAAGTTGCCGAAGAGTGAACCCCAGAACCTGGGAGGTGCGGCAGGCCGGAGTCGGGGCGTGGACCTCCACGAGCAGTCCCAGCAGAACAAGAGCCAGTGTTGTAGCAACTGAGGGGCTAGAGCAGACACGTGTGGAGTTAGCACGAGAGCTAAAACATAACTTCTCCATCCCCACCCTCAGCACACAGCCCCTACGGTAACAGCACACTGAGCCCTGGCTCCCAAGGGCTGCCTCCTGACAGCTCCGTCATGGCACTTTTTAACGCTTCAGCAACCAACACCAGGCAGCTGTTGCCACTACTATGCCCTACTCTGGGGTTTGGGGTCAGATCTCCCCAGGACCTTCCTTCCAAAACAAACTTTCTTCACTTCGTATTCTAGGTGCAAGACAGTGACCTCCTCATTGTTAACTCCCCGCCCGCCCACACCGTTCTTCCCAGGGTTGCAGGGAAGACTTCTGTCTCCTGCCTCTTCCCCCTTCCACCTCTCATCACTCCCTGTTCTTGATCCTGTTTCCTCCTCTTCCCAAGATGATGAAAGGTAAACCCAGGGACTGAGAAGGGAGACAGTGTAATTTTAGTTACATTAAGGGCCCTGCAGGGACAGTAAGGCTCAGAGCAGGAGGGGGTAAGGAAACATTTCTTTTTTTGTTTTATTTATCTGGTAGGAGTTTCTTGTCTGTGAAACACTGCAGCACCCATGAGTTGGACTTGTGGAGGGTGATCCTGGGTAGGAGTGAGACTGGGGAGGCGAGCTCGCAGGCACCGTTGGGAGGTGTATTAGCTAACTGGATAAAGGTTGAGGTGCAGTGTTCGTCTGTGGCTCTGGAACTCGTCCCAAGGCTGTTTTCCCTCACCTGGCCTCGTAGGTAGTTCCCCCCCCCCCACTCACCCCCACTCCATTGTGGGGATTGGACCTCAGAGTGCTCCAAAGAATCTTCACTGGTTGCCTGCACCTCTAGCTCTGCTGTGATCAAATTGGAGGAGGTACCAGTTTCTGATACCCATCCTCTGGTTTATACATAGGCATTTCCCCTACCCTGGCCTTGAGATGGCCTTCGCCCCAGACGCCATGCTCCTGCAGTTTGCACTTTAATTGATGGTAGTTCAGTCAGGATACATGTTTTATGGGGGTTTTGATTGATTTACCTATCCTTCAACCTTTTTAATTAAATGTAATCTACAATGTATGAGGTTTGAGAGGCACTATAGAAAACAGTATCAGCTACTGAAACCCAGTGTCCACTGCTAGCCTCCTGATTCATGTGTCTATTCTTGGGTATAGGTTTGTCTGAGCAACTGGGGAGTGGCCTCAGAATAGCAAGGGCCATGGTAGTGGAGTGAAGAAGGGTCGGGCAAAGGGAGTGTTCTATCTTCCCAGGGTTCACATTCAACTTGCTATATCTTACCATGTCTTTTCTACTTCCCTGTAAATACTTATAGTCTTTATTCTCACTGTACAGTCTGGTCTGTCTCCTATTGCCCTTCTTTTCTCTTTGTTAGTATCTTGAGTTCCTCCTTCACTCCTCCCCCCTTACTTAATCCGTGTACCACTAGGCTCCTGCCACAGAGGCCACTTGTTCTTGGACAGGCGCAGCTAGACTTGAAGGTGCCTCACAGCTGCCTTTTGTCATCAGAGGGCTTGGGTCCTTCCTGAGTCTCCGGCCTCTACATCCTTTGTTAGGAGTGTTAGGGTGTCTGTGGGAAGCCATCAAGGCAAGAGAGAACTCAGTTCTTTCGTGTGTTAGCCAGAATTTTGGGAAAATTTGCAGAAGAAAAGAAAAACCACAGTAACCTAGAGTTAGAACCTTTCTGTCCTTTGGCTTACAGACTGCCTTTTTGTTCCAGAGCAGCTGAGGAATCCATGAAGCCAGGATTCTCAAGGACTCAGCTTAGGTTCTTCCACTTAGGCCTCAGTTCTCTTCCTTTTCCAGGGGCAGCCTTAGTTCTCACGGCCCGGAAGCACACATTTCCAACTTTGTTTTCCGAGAACCCGTTAGTCCCCCAAAGCACCCAGGCGCATCCTGTTTACAAGTGGAGAATCTAGGGTGGCTTGTAGAAGTTTAATTCCTTCTCTGTAGTTTTTTCCATGGGACAAAAGTGAAGATGTTTCAGTGCCTAGGGGCCGGGAAACCATTTCCCTAGGCTTTTCTCTCCCTCCCTCTCTTAGGAACAGTATTGGCCTTAGCTCCTGGGCCTGGCTGCTGCCCCTCTTCTCCTACCAGCTCTTCTGCCTTCATTGGAGCTCTGTTGGGCTTGAGGGTTTTGTTGTTCTCTCCTGCCCTCCTGTTATCTTTTTTCTTTTGATCAATTTTTAGGGGGAGGGGTCTTTTTTTGCCTTTATTTTTCCTAAGAAAGGGTTTGCCTTTCTTTCCCTCTCCTTCTAACATAACAATCGTGGTAACAGAATGCAACTGCTGATTTATCGATGTATTTAATGTAAGTAAAAAAGGAAAAAAAGAAAGTATATTGGACTGTTGTTTTGTTTTTACCATTTGTCTGCCTGAAACTAAAAGGAAGCTGGGCGTGGGGCGGTGGTGGTGGCACATGCCTTTAATCCCAGCGCTCAGGAGGCAGAGGGGACAGACCTCTGAGTTCGAAGCCAGCCTTGTCTGCAGAGCAAGTTCCAGGACAGCCAGGGCTGCTTCACAGAGAGACCCTGTCTCGGAAACAAACAATTGGGACAAGAAGGCCTAGTGAGATCTCACGGACGATCTCACCGTCTTGGCACCTCGTTATTCTCTCTAATCTTTTCTTGGACACTTGAACCAATTTGGAAAATAACCTTTTTTGTTTTGTGAACTGTTCTGCTCAAAGACATAGATAACTTACCTAATGTGACTTATCTTTTTGTGTGCAGTGGTGTGGTCTATGGATCTCTTGAACCGTTGAGACTGAAAGAGGAACGGCATGTCTGACCTTTGGAAGAACTATGCAATATTTTTTTGCATTTTCCTAGGACTCATTTGTATATTAGTTTCTGAATTGGATCCATAACCTAAAGATTCAAAAGAAAAAGAGGGGGCTGAAGAGATGGCTCAGCAGTTAAGAGCACTAAGTGCTCTTCCAGGGGACCTGGGTTCAATTCCCAGCACCCACATGGCAGTTCACAGCTGTCTGTAACTCCAGTTTTGTGGCAAAATGTGGGGAACCAGCCCCCACCATTATTTACCCCAGGGACTCTTAAGGAATGAGGGATAAGAGACTTAGTTAGAAGTAGCGGGGAGAGAAACAGAGAAAACATAGGATAGACTCAGGAGGGCCTGGATCCTTACCTACCAGGCCAGAACTTTATTCCAAAGGTCTATTTATAACAATGCCAAGGGGTGGAGCAAAAAACCTCCCCCTTGCTGGTTGGACCCTTTCAAACACCTGGTGCCCAGGCCCGTGGCCCAATCAACCTCCCATGCAGTCCTGCTGGGTACAGCCACTAGGAAACCTAGTGGGCTCCAACAGCAAAACACCAATGCCCATTAAAAGAAAAAGAAGACACTGGGAAGATGGCTCAGTGGTTTAAAGTACTTGTTGCTCTTGCAGAGGACCTGGGTTCAATAACCAGCGCCCACGTGGTGGCTCACAACCATCCACAACTCCAGTTCCAGGGGATCTGACATCTTCTGGCCTCCACAGGCACCAGGTACACACGTGGTGCACATGCGAACTGCAGGAAAAATACACGAAATCTTAAAAAGACAAGCTGGGTCTGGTGACGCGTGCCTGTTGTAAGATTGTGAGTTGGAAGGGAGCCTAATATTCATTTGGCAAGACCATCTCTCCAACAACAACAACAACAACAAATTTGCCTGGATCTGTTTTGGTTTCTTGTTTGTTTGTTTTCAAGACGGTTTACTCTTTGTATCCCTGGCTGTCCTGGATCTCGCTCTGTAGACCAGGCTGGCCTTGAAGTCAGAGATCCGCCTGCCTCTGCCTCCCAAGTACTGGGATTACAGGTGTGCGCCACCACTGCCCAGCTCTGGATCTGTTTCTTATTTCTGCTTGAAGGCCTTCCGTTTGTCATGGTCTAAAAGGAGCTGACACACAGAAAGCAAACGAAACGTAAGAGACTGGGTATACAAGAATTTTAAGTTAAAATGTTCAGGGGACTGGTGTCAGCCAGCCCTTACTTTGCAGGCCATTTCTCCTAATTCACCAGCTAAGGGCCTTGGTCAGGTTAGCGCTCGGCTTCAGTCTCTCCATCTGTGAAGAAGAGAGTGTGAAGTCTGAGCCGGTGTGTGGTACACACCTATCATCCAGCACTGTCATCCAGCACTTGGGAGTTTGAGGCCCATCTGAACTACAGGAGATGTTAGCTCCATAAAATAAAACTGGGTGTCGTCAGTAGACGGGGGAAGAAACCATGCCAAGTAGAATTTATTTGTTTGACAGGGTCTTCGTGTAGAGTTCAGGTTGGCCTCCGCCTCCCTTGTGCTGGCCACACCAGCTGAAACTTAACAATCATTAGGATGATCAACACAAAGGCTGGAAACCTTCCCATTCCCAAAACTTTAGAGCCGATATCACCTTTTCACTCTCACTTCCCCTCTCTGAGTACACTCCCTGCCCAGGGTCCTCGGCGATTCCTCGCAAAAATTCTGTTGGAGAACTAAAGGAAAAAACGATCTTCCGGAATGTTTTGCTTTAAATCGACACGACTGTAGCTCAACCCTCTGATCTCTAGAGGGCAGTCTAAGAATGTTTGTTCCCGAAGCACGGGCTGAGTGTCCCGTTTTCAGTCTCTAGTAACGGATTAAGAGTAACAACGAATTTATTCTATTAGTGTCCTTTACTTTGATATACGAGACTTTGGTTAAAGTGCCATTTTTCTTGTTAAAGTGGATGTTTGTGTTTTGTTTGCTTGGTTTTTCAAGACAGGGGTTAACAGCCTGGAACTCGCTCTGTAGACCGGGCTGGCCTGGCCTCGCACTCACAGAGATCCGCCCCTGGAGTGCTGGGATTAAAGGCGTGCGCCACCACGCCCGGCTTTTTTTTTTTTTCTCCCTCACTACGCAAAGTTTAGAAGATGGTTTTAAGGACTGGGCATGGTGGCGCACGCCCTTAAGAAGCAGGGGCAGACGGATCTATGAATTCTGAGCCAGCCTGATCTACAAAATCAGTTCCAGGCCAACCAGGACTACCTAGTGAGACCTTGTCTCCAATGAAAGATGGATTTTCAGTGTTGGTTTTGCATTCAGAAATTCACTCTGGGAGTCTTGGAGTCACTATTTTAAGGACGTCGTTTCTGCCGTTATTCTTGGCCCTAAAACAGAAGCAGGGCTCAACAGTTGCAACCCTAAACAACTGCTGAGGCGTGGGAATGCCTCTGGGGGGAAAAACTAGCCTTGGTCCCCATGCTCGCGGCCACCTTTGCAGCCCTCGTCACCTTCCGCTGCCCGGGTGCCCGGCATCAGCGAGGCCTGTCGGGGCCCCGCGGAGCTGCGGTCGGCTCCGGGTCATCATCCGTGCGTGTCCACTGTCCCCGGGAGGGAGAAGCAGGCCTGCACCCGCCGGGATCCGGCCACGCTCCGCCCTCCCCCGGCCTCGCATCCGGCGACCCGTGACAGCTGCCAGTCCTCGTCAGGAGCAGCGGCGGAGCGAGGGGCCAATGACTGCGGCGCGGGCGAGGGGCGTGAGGACGCCTGCACGGGCTGTGCGCGTCGTGGCCAGGCCCCGCCCCGCCCCGCCCCGCCGCGCGCGGAGCTCTGGCCCCGCACCGGGCCGGTGAAATTGTTCCCCTGCGGACATCGAGCCGGGTAAGGGGACTGCGATCGGGAGGGAGAGGAGGGAGAGAGCAACGGCAGGGCCAAGGCGGTCCGGGAAGCTCCAACCCTTAGGAGCAGCAAAAGGACCAGTACCTCCGTAAACGATGTCTGGGCGCGCCAGGGGTCGCAGACTGCGTATCTGTCCGGATTCTGGACAGACACACCCTCCCTGCCTAAAGTGTTCCGGAGAGTTAGGAGCTTGCACCATAGAGTGGTATTTCGGTATTTAACCGGCCACCCCCTCCAAAGCCCGGGACCAAGCTGATAAAATCCGGTTGCTGGAATTAAGGTATGGCTGGGAGAGTGCGGGTCCCCGTGGCCCAGAGGTAAAGAGAAGCGGAACTGGCACCTATTCCCATCTTCCTCTCTTCCCTATCCGTAACAACCCACCCCTAGCATCTCAGCGACCAGCAGCCTCTTACTACCGCTCTCCGCTTTGACCCTCCGGGGTCAGAGGGGCACGGGGTTGTGAGGGAGATACTATTGCAGGCCAGAGAGCAGAAACATTAACTTCCTCCTCAGCCCATCCCCTGACACGCTGGCCATTGACTTCTCTCTCCGTTCGCTGAGATCACTACAGGGTAGGGTGGAGACACTGAATTGGGGTTCAGTTCCCAGATAGGGTATTTATTTTAGAGGGGTGGAGGGAGAGAACTGGAAAGGCCTGAGTGAATGTTATTACTTGTTTACTCTTGGTATCAGGTCCTCTGGGTAGAGATGAGGATACAGTTTCAGGGAGGCCCACTGTGTTGCCCGGCGAGCCCGTTAATGACGAGGCCTGGTTGTACATACCCAAGACGGTTTGCTTCTAGAATTTGAACTCCTCTACCCCATTAGGTTGCCGCTACCCTCTTGTCTCGGTTTTCATCGGTCTCACTTTAGAGATAATTACAGACTGGGGCTGGGAGGATAGCTCAGTGGTAGAGCACTTGTCTAACCTTCTCAAGGCCTTGGGTTCAATACCCAGTATCTTTTTTTTTTTTTTAATTGGCAAACCTGCATCTGTCCTTTCCGTTCCTTGGCCTGGGGCATTGTTCTCTCTGGAAGCCTGTGTACCTCCTTCATCCCCACTCCACCCCTTCCGCCTCTTCAGCACAGCCAACCACTGAAGTGCTCCAAGTTTACTCCAAGAACCCATTTGGACCCTGCATTCTTAATTCTCCCAAATGTCCCCTCGCAGGGGTTTTCTTGTTCTGAAACCCAGAATCTTCTCCCTGTAGGTCTGCCACAATGCTGCTTCGGCTGTACAGAACTGTGGTGGTGGGACTTCCACAGGCCCTCAGGTAGGTTATCCCAGCCCGTTACTTATCTCCTAGACTATCTCGTAATTACCTTATCTGGCAGATATTTATCTTATCTGGAAGATAAGATGGTACAGAAATGGCCCTGGAGGAAAGAGAAAGCTGTGTTTCACTGGTCCTACCCATCCGGAAGAAACTAAACTCCAACTGAAAGCTGGTGACTAATGAGGGAGAGGCAGCCACAGACCTCCAATGGTCCTTTCCACAGGACTTGTTGTGCTACTAAAGATCTCTTTCTTCCAGAGTCAAGACAACCCCCTCGAGGCTCTGCATCCCAGCATGCTCCACAAATGATTCATTTAAACCCCAGCACCCCAGCCTCACCTTTTCTGATGAAAACTCAAGAACTCAGGGGTGGAAAGTCATGGGGACCCTGCTGGGCCTTGGCGCAGTGCTGGCCTATCATGACCTTCGCTGCAAGGTAGGCAGGAAAGGGACAGAGGGATCTCACACGCTCTTCCCGGTACCTGCTCTGTCTTCATGCACTACAGACATACTATCTGTTCCTTTAATTTCCCAGTCTAAGACTATGGATGGATGGTGTCAGAATGACCTAGAGTGATTTAATATGCTGTTCCTTTTGCTTTCTCCCTCCCCTACCTGTAGGCTGCTCAGGAGTCACCACGGATGTACACCAAAGAGGAAGTGAGGTCCCACAACAGCCCCGAAACTGGAGTCTGGGTAACTCTAGGCTCTGAGGTCTTCGATGTTACAGAATTTGTGGACCTACACCCAGGAGGACCATCAAAACTGATCCTGGCAGCAGGGGGTCCCCTAGAGCCCTTCTGGTCCCTCTATGCTTTCCACAACCAGCCCCATGTACGTGAGTTACTGGCCGAGTATAAGATTGGGGAACTGAACCCTGAGGATAACGTGTCACCCCCCACCTTGGAGGCCTCTGACCCTTATGCTGATGATCCTGTCCGTCATCCAGCCCTGAGGATTAATAGCCAGCGCCCCTTTAACGCAGAGCCTCCTCCTGAACTGCTGACGGAAAACTACATCACGCCAAACCCTATTTTTTTCACCCGGAACCATCTGCCTGTACCTAATGTGGACCCAGACACCTATCGCTTGCACGTAGTAGGGGCGCCTGGAGGTCAGTCGCTGTCCCTGTCCTTGGATGATTTGTATAAGTTTCCTAAACATGAAATCACCGTCACTCTGCAGTGTGCTGGCAACCGGCGCTCTGAGATGAGTAAGGTTAAGGAAGTGAAAGGTCTGGAGTGGCGGACAGGAGCCATCAGCACCGCCCGCTGGGCTGGGGCACGACTCTGTGACGTGTTAGCCCAGGCTGGCCACCGAGTCCGTGAAACCGAGGCCCATGTCTGTTTCGAGGGACTTGACTCAGACCCCACGGGGACTGCCTATGGAGCATCTATCCCTCTGGCTCGGGCCATGGATCCTGAAGCCGAGGTCCTCCTGGCCTATGAAATGAATGGTCAGCCCCTGCCTCGTGACCACGGTTTCCCCGTACGGGTGGTGGTTCCCGGTGTGGTGGGTGCCCGCAACGTCAAGTGGCTGGCCAAAGTGAGTGTGGAGTCAGAGGAGAGTCACAGCCACTGGCAGAGGCGGGATTACAAAGGCTTCTCTCCGTCCGTGGACTGGAACACGGTAGACTTTGATCTGGCCCCATCAATCCAGGAACTACCTATCCAGTCGGCTATCACGCAGCCTCAAGATGGGGCGACTGTAGAGTCGGGAGAGGTGACGATCAAGGGCTACGCATGGAGCGGTGGTGGCAGGGCCGTGATTCGAGTGGATGTGTCCGTAGATGGCGGACTCACCTGGCAGGAAGCTGAGCTAGAGGGAGAGGAACAATGTCCCAGGAAGGCCTGGGCTTGGCGAATATGGCAGTTGAAAGTTCAGGTGCCAGCAGAGCAAAAGGAGCTGAACATCATTTGTAAAGCTGTGGATGACAGTTACAACGTGCAGCCAGACACCGTAGCCCCCATCTGGAACCTGCGAGGCGTACTCAGCAACGCCTGGCACCGTGTCCACGTCCGCGTGGTTCCGTAAAGGCGTGGAACAGAGCCGTCTGTACCCAAAGAACCACCCAGACTTCCCAGCCCATCCTTGATCCTCGTTGCCGTGGAAGAACATTTCCTTCCTCTTCTTGGGTCCTGACCCTGTATTCACTGTGTCTTAAACTGTACCCAGGCACACACGTTGCACATCTCCACACAGGAACATGGACTCTCCTGGCCTCTGCCTCTGCCAGGAGAGAGCGGTTGGAGAGTCTGGAGGGGAGAAAGCTGTTCTGAAGACATCGCTTTCTCCTCCTACCACACCTCCGCTTCTAATACCTCCCCACCGGGGGCCTTACTTTTGCATCGCTCAGATGCTCCAGCCAAATGTGTGTAGACTGTGTAAGAACCATACATTACTGTTTTCTACTGCCTATGGGATGCAAGGGGGTTTCCCTCAGAGCTCTACTTTTAAAAAAAAAAAAATATATATATATATATATATATATATATATATATATATATATATACCAATAAAGTGTCTGTTTAAGGTTATGGCTGGGACCTCGTGGGCCTGGGCAGTGAACATGTTGCAAGAGGGCAGGCATAAGGCTAACCCACAGCTAGTGGGTGCAGCCGCTGGGAAATCGAGCAGTGGGTCTCCCTCCTCAGGTCGGCTACCATCTGCGGCACACCGCCTAACTGATGTGAAGAGAGAAGTGATTGTTTTTCAATGGTACCCTCCACCCGTTTCCCCGATCCCTGCTCTCTCGGCAGAATGGACAAATAATGCGCAGAGGGTGGAAATCAATATTATCTTGGGGAGGGCATGGGGCAAACCTCGGCCCCAGGAGCAAGACCTGCCGGGGCACATGGGGCTCCCGTGGTGCAAATTAGATGCCGATGAAGAAACAGATTTGGCTTAACCTCTGCACGACAGGGCCTTTTGGACTTACATCTTTCGGCGCTCGGCTATTCTCCCCTAGCTCCTCTCTTTTTTTTTTTTTTTTTTTTTTCCCTCCGCAGTCTCCCCGGCTTGGGGGGCGCTCGGTGTTTGGCCCAGTCGCCTGTCGCCTGGTAGTGGGACCGGAAGTTATTCCGGAGTAGGGGGGGAGGAATGGCCGTGATGGGGGGGGCTCGGCGGGGGGGCCGGTCCCTCCTCAGGTGAAGCCCCTGATGATGGAGATGGAGCCGCCACCGCGGAGCGCCGGGACCCCGGCTTCGGCCTGGCTGCCGCCGCCGCCGCAGTGACCCCATCCCCGCCGCGCTGGGCCAGCCGGGCCGGAGTCGGGGGAGCTCCCCACCCCTCCGCCCGCCCGCCCGCCCGACCGACGCGGCCCTGCTCCCCCAGCCCCCAACAGCCCGCCCCGCGCCCGCCCGCGCGCGCGCGGAGACGCCTCAGGTGAGTGAGGGGCGTGGCCCGCGCGGGCCGGGGGCGGGGCTTGGCCTGCGGGGCGGGGCTTCAGCTTCTTGGACTTAGACGTGGGGGAGCCGCAGCCTGGGGGCGAGGGGCGCTGGCTGGCTGGGGTCTAGAGGGACCGGGAGCTCGTCTGCAGGACCTTGGCCCGAGACCTCAGGGTTGGGGATTTAGACAGGTCAAGAGAGGGCCGAGGACAGGCCCTGACTGTGTGAGGAATGGCTGGGGTAGAGCAGAGGGGCAGAACGACCAAACAAAGCGACCCAGGGCCAGGAAGAGCAAGGTGCCGGGGGGGGGGGGGGGGGGGGGGGGGGGGGGGGGGGGGGCTTCATTGAGAAGGTTGGGGGGAAAGACCCGGGCCTACCTAGGACTGACTCCGGGAGGCCGGCGAGGAGTGGGAGAAGCACCAGCATGGAGCGAGGTCCGTTCTTCTGTCAGTGAGAAGCATGTGTGGGGAACCTGAGGAGCAAGGCTGGGAAGGCAGAGATCCACTGCCCAAGAGAGAAGCCGCAGAGGAAGCCCTGTGGTAAACCTCTGGACGGGAGCTACTTAAACTTGGGTAGCAAAGTGCCTCTTTCTAAACATTAAATCCATCCTCCGTGTACCTCCGTATACAGACCCCTCTCGGTTGGTTGGTTTGTTTTTTTACCCTTTATCGGCTAGAGTTGCATTGTCTGGTTTAGTGGTTTGTTTGTTTGTTTGGTTGGTTGGTTGGTGAATTTGTGTGTGTGTGTGTGGTGTGGTGTGGTGTGGTGCATGTACACAGCACAGCGGCGTGCCAGGGTCAGGACACCTTTGATGTCAGATCGCTCTTCACATGGGTTCCGGGGATTGAACTGATGTCTCCAGGTTTTCAAAGCAAGTGAACCGTGACTGGGTTTTTTGAGACAGGGTCTCTCTCATGCAAGCCAGGCTGGGCCTGAACTATGAAGCTCATGATAACCTTTAACCCTGAACTCGTGATTCTCCTGCCTTGGCCTTCTGAATACTAAGGCTGCAGTTGTGACTGACGGAGCTTTCCTTCCGTTTCTCTGTGGGTTTTTGTTTATTTGGTTGGTTGGTTGGTTGGGGTTTTGGTTGGTTGGTTGGGGTTTTGGTTGGTTGGTTGGGGTTTTGGTTGGTTGGTTTATTTGAGGCAGGGTATTCATACTGTGCAGCCCTCATCGGCCTGAAACTCACTCTGTAGACAAGGCAGGCCTTCAACTCACAGAGATCCGTTCACCTGCCTCTGCCTCCTGATTGCAGGGATTAAAGGCGTGTGCCACCATCCTCAGGATCTCCTGTTTCCCAGGCTGGCTTCATATTTGCTGTAGCTGAGGATGACTTGGAACTTCTGAGCCTTATGCCTCCATCTCCCAAGTGTTGGGATTACAGGCCTTCAGCATATAAATCTTGCTATGTCTTATTTAAATCATGACTAGCCTTTTCTTGGAATAAGTGGAATGTTCAATGGAATGTGGACTTTTGGATATGAGCTGTTTCAGAAATAAGGTACCTCATTTGCTCATCTAAGGTTGAGAATCTACCAACTGCTCCCAGGAAGATTTGGTGTGTCACCAACTAATATGTGTAAAGCTTTGCCCACTTTCTTTTACCACGTTCCTTTTTCCCATGAAACTGTCAACTGTTGTGACTCTTACTTAGTGGCGGTAGGAACTGAGACATCACTCTACACTGTTGCCCACAGCAACCCGAACAGTTCCTTTAAACTTTGGGGGATTTAAACTCAGGTAAAACTTTTTTTTTTTTTTGGTTTCAAGACAATTTCCAAATGAGCCAGTATGAAGAGAATTGGTGACTGGCAAGGTGATGGCTTGGTGAGTGAAAGGTAGCTATCACCAAGCTTTTTGTTTGTTTGGTTTTTGTTTTTTTGAAGACAGGGTTTCTCTGTGTAGCTCTGGCTGTCCTGGAACTCACTCTGTAGACCAGGCTGGCCTGGAACTCAGAGATCCACCTTGCCGCTGCCTCCCGAGTGCTGGGATTAAAGGCGTGCGCCAACACCGCCAACTCCTATCACCTAGCTTTAATGACCTAGCTTGAGTTTAATCCCCAGGACTCACAGGAAGGTAGAACCAACCCTGAAAGTTGTCCTTTAATCTCCCAAAACATGCCGTGACACGCACACACAGAGTGTTGGCCTTGCAAGCCTGGGGACCTGAGTTTGACTCTCCAGCATCCATGTAAAAGCCAAAAGCCACAACACACATCTGAAATCTCATTGTGTGTGTGTGGGGTGGGGGGAGAGGCACAAACCAGAGTCAGGTGGATTCATGGAGTCATTAGCCAGCCAGCCTAACCCGTTAAGTGAGAGACCTTGCCTCAAAATGTAGGGTGGAAGCGGGAGAGATGGCTCAGTAGCTAAGAGCTGTTCTTCTGGAAACATAGATTCAGTTCTTAGCACCCGCATGGTGGCTTATAACAGGCTGTAACTCCAGTTCCAGGGGATCAGACACTCTCATCGGGCCTTAGCAGGCAGTAGGCATGCACTTGGTACACAAACATCCGTGCAGGCAAAGCACCCTGTCTTGGTCACTGTTCTGTTGCTGTGAAGAGACGCCATGACCCAGGCAACTGCTGCAAGAGAAAAGCATTTAATTGGGGCCTTGTTTAGAGTTTCAGAGGACTAGAGCAGTAACTGAGAACTACATCCAGATCCATAGAAAGAGAGCCACTCTGGGTTTGGCATGGGCTTTTGAAATCTCAAGGGCCCACCCCCCAGTGATGCACTTCCTCTAACAAGTCCACACCTCCTAACCCTTCTAATCCTTTCAAACAATGCCATTCCCCAGTGACTAAGCGTTCAAATATATCAGCCTTTGGGGGACATTCGTATTCAAACCAGCACACACCCATACACATTAAAAAAAATATTAAAAATATGAAAAACAACAAAACATGGAGTTCAGCATCATGGTGCACATCTTTAATTCCTAGCGCTTTGGGAAACAGAGGCTGGCCGTCTCTGTGAGTTCAAAGCCAGCCAGGACTCTATAGGGAGACCTTTTATGAAAAATAAAATAGCTGAAGAGATTTTTGCCTGCATGTATGTGAACCATGTTCATGCCTGGTACCCTCAGGGGTTAAAAGAGGGCATAAGATTCCTTTGAACTGAAATTATAGTTATGAGCCATCCTGTAGGTGCTGGGAATCGAACCTGGATCCTCTTCAAGAACAATAAGTGCTCTTCCCTTCTGAGCCATCTCTCCAGTCATGTCCCCCACACCCAATTTTGATAAGTGAGCAGCTAGATAATAGTGTCTCAAAAAACAATAAAATAAAAAGGACTGGAGAGTTTGCTCAGTGGTTAGTTACAGAGGACCCAGGTTTGATACCTTGAACCCACATGGTGGCTCACAGTCATCTGTAATTCCAGTAACGGGGGATCCAACAGGTACACAAGTGATACACACACATGCGTGCAGGTAAAGCTTCATATGCATAAAATAAATAAATCTTTAAAAAAATATCTGGGGTGTGGTGGTGCATGCCTTTTATCCCAGTGTTCAGGAGGCAGGGGCAGCCGGATCTCTGAATTTGAGGCCAGCCTGGTCTCCAGAGTGTTCAGGGGCAGCCAGGACTACACAGAGAAACCCTGTCTTGGAAAACCAAAATAAATAAATAATAAAATAGTGGTCAAGGGAGACAACCAAGGTGAACTTTTTGGCTCCATGTGATCTTCTATATTGTGTACCTGCACACACATGTGCACATAAACCCACAAAAAGAGTTTTAATTATTTTAAATTTTTTATTTAGATTTTCTGTTTTATGTGTACAAGTATTTTGTCTGTGTGTATGTATGTGTACCACGTGCATGCCTGGTGCCTGTGGG